TCAGACCTCCACCACTACACCCTCCATGTCTGTCGGCTGCCTGTCGCCCTCTGTCCGTCCCGTCCCCTTCAGAAAAACCACTCCACGTATTTGGACATCTTCACATCAGACCTGCTGCTCCCTGTCCTCCACCAGAAACCACCACCGGTCAAACCCCCCTCCCCTCACCCGACCCCTCAGTGTGACTGCATGGTAATGATGCTCTCACTCAACCCTAGAGCCACTCAGGCCTCGTCGCCTCTGATGGCTCCTGTTGGAGAAAAACAAAAAAAATGAGGGCAAATAAGGGAGAAGGGGAGAAAAAAAAGGAGGAGAAGAAGAAGAAGAAGGAGTGAGAGAGGGGGAGATACAAGCTCCGTAATTGGGCTCTTGAATATTTAAGTCGCTGGGGATGAAAGTTTAATGAAAAGATGATTATCTACCAGTTTATCACAGCACTCTTTCATATTTCATTTTTTAAAATTCTCGTTACGAACCTCGCCGTTTACAATCCTGGAATGTTGTTGGAAAATGGAGAACCGTCGGAGGAGACGCGTTCAGGAAGTCTCACTTTTAGGACGTTTCATCACATATGAGAGAGTTTGATGGAACAACAGGTGGAGGTTAGCCTGAAAGAGGACTGAAGTTAATGAAGTAAATAATAAACAAGTAAGTTTGACCATTAACAGCAAAACACTTAGAAGAATAGCTTCAGTAAATTAGCTGGAGAGACTTTTTAGATAGAAATATAAACAGTAGAGGAAACAAAAGCTAAGCTGTGTGAAAATATCAAAACTTTACAAAAAAGAAGCTTTAACTTTGTCAAACATATTTCTAGTAAATTATAAAGTAAAGTTTTGTTTTATGATGTTAATAATATATTTTTGTGTATTTAATTAATCGGTTCAATCTGCAACAGCTGAAGGCAAAACCAACAAAAAGTCAGACCGACAATATTGTTTTAAAAAAATAATAAATCAATTTAAATTCTTTAACGTTAAATTAGAAAGAGCGAAAAAAGAAAATAAAAATAAACATCAATGTTCAGAGAGAAAACAAGAAGCTAAGATTTTTTTTTAAATCTGTAAAAATTAACTTATTTAAATTCCATTGAATCAAAATTAATGACAGAACTAAAACATTGGTCGACCACAGGATAGATCTGAGTTCAGCAGAGTGTGTGTGTGTGTGTGTGTTCAGACATTAATGAAGCCATGGATTTTATCCCTGCAGCATCCACTCTTTCTTTTCTTTAACTCAGGCGGATAAACAGACGCCCGTTTGTTATTCATTCTCCTTCTCCATAATAGCGGGGACATTAATCCCTTTTTGCTGTGAAACGCTGTGAAAACAATCGTCCGGAGCTGCACCGCGCTGACATGTAGCACTCTGGCCAAACCCCAGCGGAATAAGAGGCAGTGCTGCAGAGATGTGAAGGGGATTAGAACCCACACGCACTCAGCGCCGCGGGCCACGGTTCAGGACAGGGAAACAGTTGGGATGACAGAGATTAGAGGACGTCAACCTTGTGTGGTGCAAAGAGGCCGTTTCCAGGCAGAGACGCGGGGACACAGAGAGGAGACGCAGAAATATGATGCATTTATTCTACTGAGAAGAAAAAAGAACCTGTGGTCGGATCAGGACCTGGAGCTGCTGTCTGTCAGGAAGATAAAAGTTCACAAGGTCACAATTAGCTTAAAGCTAACACCTAATAAGAACGGGAGAGAATAGAATAGAATAGAATAGAATAGAATAGAACAGAAAGGCCTGAGTGTGTTAAAGTTGATCAGAGGACAACTGTAGCAACAGGTAAATGTTAGCCTGCAGTGGATGAAAAATGTCGGAGGTAAACGAAAGGCTTTAAGGACTTTAAAGTAAGAAGATAATTAGCTGAGGTTAGTTAGACAGCTAGTCAAGTTAGTTATAAATGAGCTAGAAATTGATAGTTTGTTCATATTAATTGCAAATACGGTAAAAAAAAAATCAACAAGTAAAGTTGAATTTTATTAGCATAATCAAATAAATTAACAAAAAAAAAATCAAAACTAAAATAAAAAATCTGTCTGTGTTCAGTAAAGTTCTGTCTTTTCATTGTTTGA